TTTCCTGCAGCCTGAGGCACGTTGACCTAGACCTTCTGCAAAGCTAACAAGGTAAGACTGCTTACAATCAGTTCTCTCTGGAAATAGGACCACAATGGAGAAGGGACTGTTTACTAAAAACAATAAGGATACACTGAAGAATGCTGGCACTTCTCCAGCCTGGGTCCAAATTAAACCAAACTCTTTAGCATTAGATCAGCTATTTTTTTATTTTTTTTTTTTAAATGTTACAGAAACTGAAGAGAAAAAAAAAATTGATTACTATTAATTACCTATACACTCTATAAGAGACATATAAATTAACTCCTCAATATTTAACAGAAGGTGGAGGAGGAAATGTAGAAATAATACTAATAAGTTGTCATCAGATCAAAAGATGTACAACAGAAAAAGTGAGTATTGCAATATTGTGAATAAAAAGAACACTCCACCATTCAGTTTTTTAATTCTGAGTAATCTACAAAAGTAGCTTTTAATATTTCTGTAGATTAGTAGAACATTTAGCACAAAACCATCATGTACAAAGCCCACTAAACTAGTGTTGAAGTTGAACCTACCCATGCAGGCGGTGCACTTACAGAATACAGGCATCTACAGAATACAAGGCAGTGTTCTGAAAGATACAGAGTTACAACCTCACCGTTAAAGCTAATCATACACAGTACATGTCCATTGACAAGTCAGCCAGGCACACCATCAGCAGGAGTTGCAGGGAAGAGGTGTATTTAATAAAAGTAGTTGTATAAAGCTCTTATTCTCTGGTGCAGAGGATGTATGAATTCCACAGGGACATGATGAAATAGACTGCTTACGTGCACATCCTGGGGGCAGAAAGAGGCACTCAATTCCCAGAAAAGTTGGCTTTCTGTTAGGAGTATTAATAAACAAGGCACGTTTGATCTACAACATAGACATCCCATAATTATTATCTGTATGGCTTGGTCACTCTAAAAGAAATGTTCCAAATTTGTAGAGCCTAAAGCACCAGCAATTGTTTACTGAAAATAACAACAGAGGTCAATTAATGCCTCATCATTCCACAAGCCAGGAAAGACTACAAAGGACACAATCACTTATTTTTATCCTCTGGGCTATGTTTTTCCCCCCACTCATGACCTTCAGAAAATCCCCTGATATCCTTGATGTGCCCATGTGGGTTTAGGGAGATATAGCCACATACTGGGAATTCAAGCAATGCCTTTCCCTCTTGATCATGAGAAAAAGAATGGCAGGATTAGTGTAGAACTGAGCTCAGAATCATAACAAGCTAGGGCAGTCCATTGGTTTACATAGCATTTGATTACAGAATATGCAGCCATGCAATTACTTTCCTCCAGTTGTTGTCAATGGAGCTGGCTGCTAGAAAATCCTGATGGCTCTTGGATTGGACAGTCTGGCTCCTGAATATTAATGTGCAAATCCAAGCTATAGACCATGTTTGAAAACCTATTTGACGGACACCAACCAAAGCTACAATGAGGGCATACAAAATAGAGAAAACATCATTAACAGAGATTGTTTCATTATGTGCGTGTATGCTTTTGCACAATTTGTAAGGATACTCATAGGTACCCCATAGGGCAGGTGTCTCCAAACTTTTGAAACAAAGGGCCAGTTTACTGCCCTTCAATCTTTAGGTGAGCCGGTCTGTAGCCTGTGGGAGTAGAAAATGCCATGGGCTTGGTTTACTAAATAGGGGTAAAAATGTTTTACATAATTGGTGTCAGTGGGAGGAATAGTGCCCCATTGTTGGGGTCAGTGGGAGGAATGGTACCCCATTACTAGTGTCAGTGGGAGGAACAGTACCCCATAATTGATGTCAGTGGGAGGAATAGTGCCCCATTGTTGGTCAATGGGGGGAATAGTGCCCTGTCTTTGGTGTAAGTGGAAGGGATAGTGCCTCAAGGGCCAGATAAAAGCAAGCAAAGCAAATGCAATGGGCTTGGTTTACTAAATGGGGTAAAAAAATCTACATAATTGGTGTCAATGGGAGGAATCCTGCCCCATCATTAGTGTCAGTGGGAGGAATGGTGCCCCATCATTGGTGTCAGTGGGACGCATAGTGTCCCATCGTTGGTGTCACAGGGAAAAATAGTGCCCCATCATTGGTGTCAGTGGGTGGAATAGTGCCCCATCATTGGTGTCAGTGGAAGGGATAGTGCCTCGTATCAGTGGAGTGCCCCAATGGCCAGATAAAAGCAAGCAAAGCAAATGCAATCGGCTTGGTTTACTAAATGGGGTAAAAAAAATACATAATTGGTGTCAGTGGGAGGAATGGTACCCCATCATTGGTGTCAGTGGGAGGAATGGTACCCCATCATTGGTGTCAGTGGGAGGAATAGTGTCCCCCATTGTTGGTGCCAGTGGGAGGAATGGTGCCCCATCGTTGGTGTCATTGGGAGGAATGGTGCCCCATATTGGTGTCAGTGGGAAGGAATGGTGCCCCATCATTGGTGTCAGTGGAAGGAATGGTGCCCCATCGCTGGTGTCAGTGGGAGGAATGGTGCCCCATCGTTGGTGTCAGTGGGAGGAATGGTGCGCCATCGTTGGTGTCAGTGGGAGGAATGGTACCCCATCGTTGGTGTCAGTGGGAGGAATGGTGCCCCATCGTTGGTGTCAGTGGGAGGAATGGTGCCCCATCATTGGTGTCAGTGGGAGGAATGGTGCCCCATCATTGGTGTCAGTGGGAGGAATGGTGCCCCATCATTGGTGTCAGTGGGAGGAATGGTGCCCCATCATTGGTGTCAGTGGGAGGAATGGTGCCCCATCATTGGTGTCATTGGGAGGAATGGTGCCCCATCATTGGTGTCAGTGGGAGGAATGGTGCCCCATTGTTGGTGTCAGTGTGAGGAATGGTGCCCCATCATTGGTGTCAGTGGGAGGAATGGTGCCCCATCATTGGTGTCATTGGGACACATAGTGTCCCATCGTTGGTGTCAGTGGGTGGAATAGTGCCCCATCATTGGTGTCAGTGGGTGGAATAGTGCCCTGTCTTTGGTGTCAGTGGAAGACATAGTGCCTCGTATCAGTGGAGTGGCCCAAGGGCCGGATAAAATCAAGCAAAGGGCCACATGCAGCCCACAGGCCGCAATTTGGAGACCCCTGCCCTAGGGCAATCATGGGGATTCCAATGAAATGATCGTACTGATCCAAGTTATTTGGTGGAGTGGTGTGTGGTAATTGCCTGAATGTCCCTATTTCACAGAACCTATGTCTTACATGGAGCACTTCTGGTTTCCTTTGATTTGGACTGTCATTTTATTGCCCCATAAAAACCTAGGTGGTATCTTTGACACTATACCGGAAGACATTAGGATAATAAAGGAATTTCCAAGCACCTGACTACAAAGAGCTCCATACAGTGACCTCATTCCATTCCACCAAAATCCAATCTAGATTTTTCCTTTAAACCCTAGGTAGAAATCAGTTTGAACACTTGCTTTTAATTCATAATACTTTACAGATGTAAAAGATTCCAAAACATTGCCGTATTGTAAATCAAAGCAACAACAATTTTGGGTTACGCCTTTTTCAGGGAATGGAGGCACTAGATCTTCAGCTGTCTTTTTTTATTCAGTATATGATAGGGACATAATTAGTGTAATGCATTGTCTCTGCAGTGCTGTGCAAGTAATGATCCGCTGATATATGTGCAGCACACATCCACTTATAACACAGCTCTATATGCTTCTGGTTTATGTCTCCGCCTGAGAATCCAGTATAGAGCCAAGTGAATGCTGGAATGTTACAGTGCCCAGACTGATGGCATGTGTTTTCTTAGCCTAATATGGACTACAGAATGAACTATATTAACAAACAGCTTTAAATGTGATGTGAGGAGCAGTAGACGAGAACACAATCTGGAAGCCATAGATACCATTTATGTATGGAAAGTTCCCTTGAAAAAGCACAGAAGCACAGCAGAACAGGTAAAAACTCATAAAACTAAAAGCAAGGAGATAAATTCTGTACTGTGATTTTGTTCTGCGATGTAATTTGGTATTGTACTAATTGTCAAAGTGGAACTCCAGCCAAAACATTCACAGAGTCTTCAGGTTTTTATTGCTCAAGGCAAACCCATCCAGCACCTGACCCTATAGAGGTTCTTTACTAAAACTGGAGTGTGCCAAATTTGGTGCAGCTCTGCATAGAAACCAATCAGTTTTCAGGTTTTATTGAAAAAGCTGGAGATAGAAGATGATTGGCAACCATGTACAGCTGCACCAGTTTTAGTACATCTCCCCTTATATGTCTATAATGGGGAGTGCACACCTACCGGTGATTATACATCTAAAAAAGAAAAGGCCAGCACCTGATAAATGAGCCTCAGTTGTTAAGGACTCTGTTGTCTTGAGAAAGGAATACCACACGGCTCCGAAACATTGGTGGAGGAACATGTTTTTGGTTCTTTTTCTTTGAAACCTGTTTTTTTAAACCTCAATCAACAACTGAGGCTTGGTATGGGGTACTGGCTTATTCTTTTTATGAGGTTTTTATTACTGTGTTCCAAAATATCCTGATGGTCACTGCCAACGAGACGAAGAGGACATCTGCAACAAGCACACAAACAACAAAGCTTGTAAGACATTCTAAACTTTGCATACTTTACAAAATACATATTTTTCTGCAATGTCCTAGTTGATGAGCTTTTTCTACCATTCCTTAACAAGTGTCCACTTTCTCCAGACCATATAAAGGTTAGCAGAGAAATAGTGGTTTCATTATTGTTCACATCTGATTGACTATGGCTAACGTGGGTCTTTTTTTGCAGATGGTTCTTTGTCAGTCCCACTCTGAATAAATAACTTTATTTTCTATTAATATAAGCACTTCTTAAATTGCATGATTCACTTGCACAGTAAACTGAACTAACTTTCCACTTTCCTGCTTACCCACTTTCAGCACAGAGAAGACTAAGGTCCTCTTTCACCTTACACACGGAAAGCCACTCTCTTTCTGCACCTCTTCTGTAACCTGCACCTCTCTGTCCTCCTCTAGCTATGGAGAAGGTCCAGCACATAACCCGCTCTGCCATGAGAAGAGCCTCAAACATTGAGGTCAACCCGCAGACCAGACAAAACTTACAGGAACTCTTTATCAACTTCTCTCTGATTCTCATCTGTCTTCTTCTCATCTGTATCATTGTGATGCTCCTCTGAAGCCCTTTACTGAACATCCCACTGCATAGACTCTAAGTCCCCATGGAAGACTCACTGTAAAGGGTTCAATATGTCATTCATAACCATGCAGTGAGCATCTGGTCATTCTAGATGTAAATTCATTTTTATATTATAGCATACTTATGGTGTAATAAACATTCTGTAACATGATTTTGCTGCAGCCTGTAATACAATATTGTGGTTTTGCTCATGTATGCAAGGATTACAAGTAAGCTTTAACTTGCTGTGTCCACCATGATTGCCTGTCTAAAGACATGTATAGAAGATGTTGTTCCAGTAACATTAGGACTATATAGTTAATGTCACTATGAGAATGTTCAAATAAAAGCATATTCACTGCAAAGAATGTCACTGCTAACTTACACAATTGATTGTATTTATTGAAAAATACAGTAGAGGTTTTCATTTTTTTAAAAAATGAGTAGACATGATCTACTTAGATTGTATAATGGAAAAGACTGCAGAATTATTTATTAAGGCATAGAAAAGAGCAAGAAAATAGCTGCCAACAATCAACTGGATTCCACCTTTCAGTTGGAACAATACAATATGGCTGCAGAGTTGTTTCACTGTTCATTCTTGTATAGTACTTGTTCTCATTGAATATGGCTGGGTTGGTGGTTTGATAGTAGATTGTGAGCCAAGACATGTCAAATAATGATTTTTGCCCTTGTAAAATGAGAAAATAAATTGTGGCAGGCCCAGGTAAAGATAAACTGTAGGTGACAAGAAGCGATTTTCTGAATGTTTTTAAGAGGGCCCATCTAGATAATTTTTGTACTAGCATACACCACTGTAGAGTTGTAAAACTAATATGAAACTTTAGCCTACTCTCAAGCTAAAGGTCCGGTCACTACACATCACTTTCCGCTTTGTATATGAAAATAATAGGCCATGGCATGGCTTATTGTGTTTAAAGCAGACTCATGAACACAAAGAAAACACCATTTAACATGTATTTATAATTAAACTCTAGGCACATTTGTAATATGTTTGACATCTATGAACTGTATCCAGACACTCTAGGCAAGTAGTACAGCCAGTTTCTGGGCTTCTCTCCAAACTACCCTGGGATTATACTATACAGCTTTTGGTAGACAATGAAGGAATAGCAGGACCTTCATAAGGTCACCCCTCTACTCTCCTTTCCAATGAGCATGTGGACAGTGCAATGCAACAAGGCCCTGACTGATTCAAAGTGTTCCTACTCCTCTCCCTTTCACTCTTCAGGTGGATATAAAGCCTAAACACGGTTTACCTTAATGCATTCCTTGCATTAATGTAAAAAAAAAATAAAAAAAAAAAAAACAAAAAACTCTGTTGAGCCCCCGTTGGATCCACCGCTGTGCATGTCTGCAGCTCTTCTCTCCCCTCACTTCCCGGGAACTGACTTTGCGGAGGCAGCCAAAGCCATTGGCTCCCGCTGCTGTCAATAAAAGTCAGTGATGAGGGAGAGGACAACGGGGCTGAGTCCTGCTGTCTGTGTCAACAGATGCAGACAGCTCAGCTTGGCACTTGACAGAGGGGAGGAGCTAGAAGCACTGTCAGGGGACCTGAGAAGAGAAGGATTGGGGCTGCTCTAGGCAATTCCTTCACAAAGAGCAGGTAAGTATAAACCTATTTATTTTTCTAATTAAGCATTTACACACACTTTAGGTGGCTCTGCACAGAGAGAAAGAATATAAGTAGAAAGATTCTAGAATTTATGCTGATTCTATTTAAGATACAGAAACCTTTTTGAAAGAATATATAACTAGAGTTCAGCTTTAAGGTGCTGGAGTCCTAGTCTAGTGAGGCCCTGAATTTAGCTGCACCCCAGCATTGTAATATTATACCTGTCGCAAAGGTGAACACATAGAAGAAACTACAGAAGGAAGAATTTAATATAATATGCTAAAACTGATTTATCAAACATACTACAGAAGGAAATGGGTCATCTTTGAAAATTATTGTAATGTGCATTTAGGGCATATTCATTTGCTGAGCTTTCCAACCCAGTGTCGACTTGTTATTTAGTGCTTAGAGCGAAGATATCACAAACACCCAATAATGATTAGCAGCTTCTAGGAGGACAAGTATGGAATTCTGTCTTTTTTTACTTTGAGAACAAATCACCGCTTAATGATCAAAACGTGTAAGAAGTTCTGTGAAATCGGGCTGTGTGTATGCATGTGCTTGTGTGGGGCATGGAGAGCACAACCTCATTGGGGATTTTCTAGATTTTCTCTGTAAACAGCTACATAATGTGTTGGAACTATACCAAATATGTATCTGAAATAAACAGAATCTAAGCATGTGACGAAAGCCATTTTGTCAATTTAAAAATCTTGTTTCTTTATGTTTTTTTACATATCAGATGGTGGTGAATTACTCAGATTTAGCGGGTACACATTATAGTTTATATGCATATGAGCACTTTAGGCTATTAAAGGCTTATTATTATTAGCTGGAATTATTTTTGTAATGGTGGGTATGAAAATGTTCCCAGTTTAAAAGTTCAGCAGTACAAAATATTGTCTTACTGCCATGGTAACTCATTATGAATGCCATCCAAAAATGCTGAAAAGAAGCAAAAGCAATCTCTCACAATCTCTGCTAGGCTCTGTAGTCCTGCCAAAACAGCGGGGTCCTATGCGTTCTACATTTCACATAAAGCTTTGCTTCATCATCTTCTTCTTCTTTCAATATTAAGGAGGAACTCCATCTCCCAGTGATCTGATCCCAATCCTGGCATGCTTCTGCTCCCTCACTATTGGACTTATTCAACATGCTAAGAGCAAAACCCAAGGAGCGAAAGTAAAAAAGCCAAACCTAAGGCAAGCAATAGATGATTTGATTTTCTTTCCTTCCACCATGGATAAAAGGAAAGAAAACTGCTCAATTCCCCCATCAAACACAGTCAGTGTTGATGGGGGAATCTCTATAGCTGAAGGGGAGCCTTTCCACCTGGCAGAACACTATGATTACGGCTAGCAGCTGTAACTGTCAGCAGTTATCGCATGTAATAAATCCAACAGGCTGGTTGTACCCAAGTCAATCGATGGATTGACTTGGGTACAACCAGCCTACCCATAGATGGGTCGAATCTCAGCCGGTCCCTACTGAACTGGTCTAGATTCAATCCAGGCTTCAGTCAGACATTCTTCTTCAAAAAGTTAGCAGGGATAAGTCATTCTGAGCAATAGAGATCACAGGGAGTTGTCGTCCAAGTCACAACTAGCTTCTTATACATCTTTAAAATATTAGTATTTCTCTGCCATAATTTGCGGCTTGGTTCTCGCACACATCTATAAATCTAACAAACACAGCAATATGGGTGCGCTGCCCCAAAGTAATAAAACATGAGAACATTGTTATAGATCATGAAATGGAATGGAAAAATTACAGCTTTTGTATAGCATGGTACAGCCAGTACTAAACCAGATATTGGGTAGAAAAGACTGCCATAGACTATGGCAAACAAAATGGGTAGGGTGAGAGTTGCTGTTGTCTAATGACTACATATGGCTGTAATCCATTCCCTCATTAGGATATGGTTCAGAAAATAACCTTAAAAGCTTGGATCTAACAGCTATGAGTGTATGAACATTACAAGCCACCAGCTGGGGATCATGTTTTTAAGCTGCACTATTATGTATGGCAACATGGACCTTAAACCATAAAAAGATAAAAAGAAGCAGGTACATTTTCTGAACTTTTTTAAAAAGCTAATAACCCCGCAAGCAGCAGAAAAAAAACAAAACAAAAAAAAATGCTTATTAATAAACTAATCTATTTTTCCACAGGGGTACCAGAAGAGATAAAAAGATAAACGCCTCCCTATAGAATTAGGAAAGTGGACTTGGCATTATGGATCTTGCCAACAACAGAGGCTTGAACCTCCTGCTAAACTTTGTTCTGATCATCTTGGTGCTGCTGCTGATGTTTATTCTAGTAAAACTCATGTGACAGTCCATGGATCCCTATGATTACAATGACATATCAACCAGCAATCTACCACCAAGAGTATTACCCATCTAGGAGTTAACCAAGAGCTGCAAGGACATTCGCTATGGGACAAAGCTTATGTCATGACAGCCAAGATCACAAAAGACTTTTGACCATCAAATCTTGTGAACCAATGCACTTAGACATCTATATTTCTTAGAAGACTAGCTGAAGATGAATTCTGTCAACAAGAGTCAGCCCAGCCCAAAACCACATCGTCATCGTGATTTCTATACTACGATATATACTGTATTGACCGGAGTTCCATGAAGAAGCACTGTGGATCGCTGTACTGAGTACAGGAATGTGATGTAAAAGCTATTGTGAGTCATACATAAGTCAACGCATGCTACTGCACATCAACATATCAACCAACTCCATATACAATTGTTAAACAATCACAATATGAAAATTTCCCAAAATGGATGCTTGGGCTAAATACCTGAACAAGCTGCCTTGTGTATAATCTACGGTCGTGTAAAACCAAAGACCACTGATTAAAGTTTAGCGTCATCCCCATAGATCAAAAGTATTCCATCACTAACTAGGGCGCACTAGTGCTACTGCATTTAAAGATACACGCTCACATTTGTAGAGTTCATGTGTACTTGCACTTTTATAATGTATATCTCCTCTTTTTATTTAATGTTTGTGAACCACTTCAAGAAATATTAAAAATGTAATATGTAGAAATTACAGTTAAGAACTGTGGTCCTTACTTACAGAAATGTAGTTAACAGTGTAGTGTGCGCAACTCTACATTCAGTCCACTGGGAGTTTGTTCATTTTTTCTTGTTTTTGTGGTCAACAGGCTGTCCAAGAATCAAGCTATTAAATGTCAGTAAGCACGTAGCTGAGCAGTTACATCACATTACATTACTTTTTTCCCGCTAGTTACCAAAATAGCAAGCATCAAAGCATGCACATTGTTACTACATCTATATATCATCATTAAATACAAACACTGTTTTCCTTAGCCGGTGCCTGAAGAA